GAGGAGGTTAATGTTGCTCCTAACACTGGTGAATGCTGATGGAATTATTAGTCCATCAGGGAAAGCATGTTGTATTGTTTAACTGCCTAATTCTGTTTTAGACGCATTCATTTTTCTCTTTTTACTGTCTAAAACATTTTAAAAGACAAAATATGACAGACTGTGAATCTAAATGTTAGCTTATTAAATCAAAACTATGAGATATACTCCACTGATTTTACACTTCAAGGTCTGTTAACAGGTCTTATGCAGTCAACATTATTTTTATATTTGCTTTCTTTGTCAGAAAGCATCTCTCACAACCGTCTTATCGTCGCCTCACTGTGTAAAACATAACACTTAAACTACAAGGTGACAGAAAAAAGATTTTGGATTAGGACTAAATGCATAACATGCACAGTTATGAAACCTTTTTTGTACATGGGATTATGTTTTATCCAGGGAGTTAAATAAAATGTAACCCCGATTCTCCTGACCAATCACTGCACAGCCCAAAATTCCGTGATCTTCATCCTGCCGCTTGAAGTGGCGGAGCAAGTTATCCATTTCTCCTTCGGGATCCAAAAACAGTCCTGCGAATTAAGGACTGTTCCCTGGGGTTTTTCTTTTTAAAAAAGGCACCAATGTTGTTTTTACCTCCTTTCATAATTACTTAAATTATTACTCACATTACTATTTATTTTACCGATACCATTAACGCACATTACTGACTTTGCTTCTCACCGGAGTCTTTGTGCTTTCTGGTTGGCGCGGTTTCACAATCTAGGCTTTCAAAATGACATGTAGGCCTCTCTCTTAGTTTCAACCACATGGTAAAGTCCCAACAATACGATGCTACAGCATTCGTAGCCTTCACACTTTTCCACAACATTTTGGAACATGTTGCAGTAATTTGCTCCCATTCAGCCACAAGACCATTTGTCAGGTCTGCCACTGATGTCGGGAGATACGGTCTGGTTCACAATCGGCTAAATCATTTCTGATAGACCTGGCTTTTTGCACTTGGGCATTGTCACATTAAAACACAAAAAGGAACTTCCTAGAGCCGCCATGAAGTTGAAAGGACACTATACTATATATAATATCAGTGTCTGCAGTACATAATGATACCCCTTAAATGAAAAAAAGAGGTTTGCCCCAAACCTGCATAACAATAATCCAGACCTAAAGTACTGTACATACGTGAATCGGGATAAGAGGAGATTGAACAACGCGACACGAGTGAGCTCACGCTGGTGTGTTTAAATCTGCTTATCCATGAAGAACCCGTTAATATGAGTTAATGACAAGGCTGGGGAGTATCCTCACGCTTAAGGCTGACGGAGAGAGCTGTTGTTCTTCATTGTAATGGGGGATCATTATCTAACTGCATCATCTGGAAGCGGCCAATGACAGGCTGCCATAGTAATGAGTTTCTCAGTGAGACAAAGCCGGGGGGGGGGTCGAGGCATTTTCCATATTTCCAAACAGCTCTACTTTGCATAAACCTCTCGTTAATTCTGGGTCTGGCCTTGGCACTGTCTAATTCTCACTTGACCCCGTTTGATCTCGACTTTTTGAACCAGACTATGATAACAGCTAATGTTGCACATGTGCGAGAACCGTATCATGTGGGGCAAGCTCGGAGCCTCGATGTGCTACGCCTCCTCTGCCGCAGAAGAAATGGAAGTGGATAAATCCCCAGGCTCGCACAAAATGTCAAACACATATAATTTGGATGCAAAGAGCTTTTATGGATCCTGAACAGGTTTCTGGTATTGAGAATATAATGACATCCTTTCACAGTCCTTTCAGCAGTTGAGGCCTCAGCTCCTTCTGACCCCCTTGCAGTGTAATAAAAAGGGCCTTACACAGCGGTGGTGGGGTCCACCTCGTCTGTGCAGAGGAGACAAACAGTGTCCTATGATTCTGCTTGCTTTTACCTTTTGAATCTCTGCGTCCTGTGTATGCTCTGGTGGTTCCTAACTTTTTTTTCGTACCTCCACAGCCCTGTCAAGTGAGCAGAACTATATTGACCCCATTCGTCATGCTCCAAATGTGTTCAGTTCAACTGATAGCTAGGCAGGTAACAAAAAAAGCAGGAATATAGCAGATATGAATTCAGGATCAGGGGACTTAAGGCATAAGACACACTGACAATCTGGCAGGGAATGAGTGGAAATCAGACAGGTATTTACTGCAGGGCAGATGAGGGAAAGTGGAAACAGGTGAATGAGAGAGTCAGGTGACTGGGACAGGTGGGAAGTCTGAGGGCATCTGGTGGATGGATGGAGAATGCAGGGGAAGTGAGAGTGGAGCTGAGGGGAGGGACTGAGGACAGACTTTTTGACAAGCATTTACTTTTAGATAACTATTTTGACTTCTCTGCTCTTGTGCTTAATAGTTTTCATGCGTTCACACTGCAACACAGGGCTTGAGGTCTGACTCAAGTACGTGGTGTTACTGTGCAGTTATTTACTGGTTATTGTGACAATACATTTACAAAAGACCACCATCACACAAATTGCTATCAAATTTTAATGTTAAAGCACTATTTTAAATGAAATCATAATTACTTGCTACACTCTCCAATCCAATGTACCACTTGGAGTACAAGTAGTCCTGGTTGGGAATCACGGCTCTACTAGAGGATATGAGAAAAGAGGGCTCGTTAGTCATGGCATGATTCCTGCTTCGAGAGGTACTGGGTTATGATCCTAGGTCCCCTTTCTCTAATAGTTTTTGTGTTAAAGATGGGTTGTGCAGTTTAATTTTAGCGTCATTGGGCAAACATTTACTATATTGTAATTCAAGTGGGCTAGTCTAAACTAGATGTCTGTACTTCCTCTTGGCTGTTTTCCTCCTAAATCTAATCCGTGACGGGCGACTTTGGCCAATCACAGGTCTTTTCAGAGAGACATGACGGCCTGCCTCCAACAGGAGTCGTGGCTGATTGACTGATGCAGAGCACCTGGTCCTTGAGCATAAAGCCCTGCTCCAGTGTTGCTCTGGGCGTGGGTTGTCTCTCTGGTATACCTGGAGTGATCGCTGCTGGTTATGTTTGGTTTTGCTGACCGCACGCATCGCACGCACGCACGCACGCACCCACCCACCCATCCACGCATCCACATTACTGATGTTATTGACTGACACACTTCATAAAGTTAACTATTTCTTTATTTGGTTACAATAAATACTTAACACAATCATCTGTTGTGTCTTTGCTACAGTTTGCAGAATGCTAAACTATAAGCAACGTTTTCTGTCTATTTTAGCTCAACCTTGTATCACATTATGTCGTCTCAAAGGGGTTTACAGGCCCACAAGTTTGCAAATTAAGAAAGCAGTCGTTCTCATAGAATTGCCCCTATATATAGAGGTTACTGTATGAAGGATGATGTGTATATGAATGACAGGTTACTGTATGAAGCCCATGCATATGCCCCTGATTGTCTGGTGGGAGGGGCTTAGGACAGAGAGAGGAGAACTGCAGGATGACTGTTTTTTTCCAAAAGCTGCCTGTGATACCACTTGAATTACAACACGCTGAAAGGTTATTATGGAATGTTGCCCAATAATGCCAAAGATGAACAGCCTACCCCAGCTTTAATGTTCCTAATGCTAATCAAGGTCCGACCGGCTACAAATGGAAGTTTCTTTTGTCAAGGTGAGAACGACTGTTGGTTCACTGTCACATCTCTCTGGCCCTCCACCTACTCTTGTGCCATCTTGTGTTCATTTTCCAAACATGATGCATGCAGACGATGTGATTAAGAATAAAATGTAGTGGCTGATGGCAGGAATTAGTGGTGGGGATATAATGCAAAAAATGTGCTGAGCTGTGCTCCTCACTTCACTACTACAGCTCACTTTGAGACAAGAGACCAGCTGACTGCTTAGAAACTGCCAAGATACTATGTTCTTTATTACGGGCGGAACGAGGATTGTCTAGGAAAAGAGCCGTGACCAACTGCTCAGCAAGATGATCACGAGTATAATTATGATTCTTTATTACTTGACTGCAAAGAAAAGGGAGAGGTTGTCTGCTCACTGAACTCTGAAAAGCTCTTACTGATGCGATGTTTTGACCTACAAAATGACAGCTCCACCTCTGCACATTAACATTTCAGCATTTTACAACAGGTGTTTAATACCAGCAAAGCTTTCATCTCGTGAGGTAGACACCAACTTCATTAAGGTAAAAAGGTTGCATCGACGGTCGTATTGAACCGTACATCGGATTTAGAGAGAAAATGATCAATTAGAGAGACGTCATAACGGGCTTGTTGGTCTTTATGCGATGGCCTTTGAGCCCCGATAGCCTTGAATATCCTTACTGATCATATACGAAGCTGTTCCTTCTGGTATAAATGTTGGCAACATGGACGGAAATTAATTGCTTAGACAGATACAACTCATTGATCTCCAAGAGGAAAATGTCTTGCTGGCAAACTGATCCTTCAGGAAGAGATGCCAATTGACTCACTATAATCAATAATATATTAATAATGGACGGGATGACTACATTTGATATCAGAGTTTTAGTGTGTTTCAGCTTATTGTTTTGGATTTATGGCCCAATACTTTACCGTGTTGGTTCACTCTCATAGCCCTCATCAGCATTGTAGTACTTTGCGGCTAGACAAAATATTTCACTCAAGTTTGTGAAGACCAAAATAAAACTAAGAGGAAATATTAAATCGTCAAGTGGCTACGAACACACCTTCAAATTAATTCGCACATTGCTGTGTGTCCGCTGGATGTGAAAATAAGCAACCGTTAATCAATAAGGTGATGATAACAAGCATGGTGACAATGTCAGTGTTGTGTTTGCAGCTTGTTTCCACTTCCCCAAGTGGCCACAAAAGGTATTAATGCAGGTTTAATCTACTGACTAATATGTATGCATGTATAATGTAATATTATTCTTCCCTGAAAGGCCTGAGATGACATTCACACACTTGGGCAAACCGTTGTTTTACCAGATCTCTGACAGTGGTTAGGAAAAAAAAGTGTCAATCAAACAAACAAAAAATCTTTATTTAAAAAAAGTATTCCCAATGAAGGACAAAGTCTCATTCATAGAAAACAGTAAGATAACAGAATGCTTCCTTTCTATTACTTCAGCAGATTATCAGTTCACATGATCACTCTGTCTTGATATTTGATGGATCATCAACCCAGACACTACATGCTATCAGAACCTTTCTGAGCCTGAAGGGGAAATAGATGGTATGTCTACATGAGCAGGACGATCTTGGTACCCATCAGTCTGAATACGGATCTGGGGGCAAGGGGCTGTACCTCTGGGGCTGCGGTGCAGCCAGCGCACATCCAGGCCAGGACTTCCTTTTTCCATGTGCCGCTCATCGCTTACAGTCCGATTAGCATCTTGAGATGCCAGACTGGAGTTGGGGGTTGAGAGACATCATGCACGGCCGGATTGTTTCACAAAGTAGCCAGTTTACGAGCTAATGTTTAACCAAGAAAAACCAAAATCATCGTCAGGCTGAACTGGTGGGTTCAGAGATGACATTGTGGTCAATGCGTTCTGACTCTTTAGCTCTCCACATGGACTCTTGACTTGCATTAGACCAAAGCCTGCTCGGACAGGATTGGTCAGTACAACTCAAGACTATAAACAGAAACCAGCATGCCTCCGATGCCAAACTCTTGTCCGGTTGCCTAAATATTCTACACATGAATACAGAATTGGTTTATAGAGATTTCGCGCTGGATAATGAAAGCTTCAGTAAACATCACACTGTACGTCGGTGGTGCAGCATGTAGCAGGTAGGAAAGTCAGAGAGGTCGTCAGGGCAGAAAAGAAATAAATAACAGCTGCTAATGCCTGGGGTCCAGTGGTCCATGCAGAGCTGCTGTAGAGTCTTAATGGTGACACTGGGATAAAATATCTGTGGTAGCATGTAGAGGCCTTGTTGGAGAATTCATCTGGTCCAGGACTGAGTCGGGGGGGGGGGGGCTCTGTGTAGTCCAGGCAGACTGTTGTGGTGGGGTTCAGTCTAAAAACTATTACGAGCCTCTGTGGAACGATGCTGCGCAGCCAGCTTACCGTAGCCGCCTCTGGCTGGGTCGTAGTCCTGCCGGTACTCATCTCTCACCTACAGAAGACACACAACACAACCACAGGGTACAAGTAAATAAGACATGTTTCATTACTTTAATAGAGAGGAGAGGGGGGGGGGGGGGGGGGGTCCTAAAGTTACATACCGGAGGGTATTTGTCTGTATTTTCCCCCTACAATAACCAAGTTCTTGGTCCGACATTTACATTTCCTCATTTAGACTCTGCCAGAAAGCTCATCGTCTACCACTGCAACAGTATTGGACTGTATTATGCGTTTGTTAAACGGCCTAATATAGACTTTCCTTTTCAAATGTCACGCTATAGTAATGCTGTCTCTTCAAAAGGCCATGGTTAATCGTGCATAATTTATTTTGGACGGGATATCACTTTCTAAATATCACACTGGTGTATTAAAATGTCATGAGAGTGCATTGATTTCTTTGAATGCCATTTCAATAGATGCCATTTTCAAAAAAATAAAAACACACCATAATGTGGTGTTTTAATATTGTTTTCCAAAACTTTTTTTCATGTGTGAAAGACAAACCGGGGTGTTAGAGTCCAGCAGTGATTCAAAATGTGATGCGTTAACCCGCCTAACATCAGTAACTTCTACAATCATTCGGTATCGCTTCCCTGTGTTGGTGGAGAGCTCCTGGTCTGTATTTTTGGGACACACCACTATGTGAGGTGACTTGGGGCTTTGTTCACAGCACATCCACAACATTATAGCCTATTCAGAATACTCTCTTCCATGAACTACCAATTGAGCTTTAACATGATTATGAACAATTACCACTTTAGAAAGGCAATGTTGTCGGTGTTGAGGAGCTCTGATAGACAGCCTAGAAGACCATTCACAGCTAAGAAGAAAATAGGAGAGTGTTGGATTTTCTAGGACAACACAAGAACATTTGACTTTTTCTGTCATTTTCCATGACTTTACCAAAGCTGGAAAAGTGGTCCACTGATTTCCACCTTTTTTGGGACGTGTGGGAACCCCGATAGTTGGAATATTAATGCGTCAAAGCTCTCTCACTCCTTCCCCCTCTCTGGACAAAATAAGTCATGGTGACCTCAAACCTAGTTACTTTCTGTGCTGCAATGTCTTACTTATTAGTGGACATATACAGACAGTGACATACCCGCATTTGGCTAATATCAGGCCATACATTGCCCTGGTTGATTTATTGGTCTTGCTCTACTTAAGACCAATTCAAGTTGGGGCCTTCCTTTAGCCAATCAACAGAGTTCCTTTCAGCTCATCAAGCTTAAAATAAATGTCTTCTAGCCAACTGCACCATGTCCATCCTTCAAGTACCAGACACAGTGTGAACCTTGTGGGGGCCTTAAGGACTTCATACAAGAACAAACAAACGTCAGCATCCCTCACCTGTCCTCCTGATTTGCCGCGGCCGTACTGCCGCCCCTCCTTGAAGCCGGCGTCCCAGTCCGTCCTGATGATGCGGTCATCCAGCCGTGTGCCATTAATGAAGCGCATGGCATTTTCTGCACCTATGCGTGTGTAGTATCTGGTACAGATTGGGGTTAAGGTCTGTTGTAGGCTCCAAAAACTTGCACAACATGGTCACTTCATACTAAATTGGTAAAACTGAATAATGCATGGTTTCTTTGGTTAGTCACCAGGCAGGCAGATGGTCGACTTGATATTTAGGTACGTTTGCTGTGAATATGGTTGAATGCTTCATTTGACAAGGATACTCTACAAAGCAGAATCCACAGGCGGTCTTCTTGACTTTGTCCAGGCCAATGACGATGCGCTTGACGTCTCCACTTTTGGAAAATATGTCGTGTACCTGCCCATCAATTACGAAGACAACAGAGAGAATCGCGTAAGAGATAGTAAGAAGCAGTTGAACTTTAGAAGACTATCCTCAAAATAATTTTTACACTCGTGAGATTTTTAAAAAAAAGTAAATGTTTTGAAATATATTACAATTTTAACAACTCTGCTGGAGTTGCAAGACTCTGGGGACCTGAGAAATAAAGTCACAGCCAGACAGATCTTTAAGTAATAGCAGTTTATGGAACTATTGATAAATTTGAAGATTGCGATATTATGTTTTGTGATATTGTGCCTCACAAAAACACGGTATTGATTTATATTTAATAGTTTACATGCAATGATTTGTGGCACAGTGGCTCACATAGGCCCATAAAGTAGTCCTATGATGTTAGATGGACTGTGATTTTTACAAATGCAGCTCCACTATTCAACTTTATTGTTCTCGGATTGTATGCATGTGGTGGTGTGTTCTTTGTACTATGAAATGTTTTCCTAAAATTAGGTTTTAAACAATATATATATATAGAGCTTCCTGCTTCCCATCATCATATGGTGTTGCCAGATTTTTTTGACAAAGCACATTGAGAGCAATGCAAAAAACCGGAGTCAGAATGATTGTACTACTGTATGTGCACACGTGCTTGGTAAAATAGTCGGAACGAGAGCTTCCTACCTGGTCCTCGGTGGAATAAAAGGAGAGGTTTCCAACATACAGAGTGTGGCTCTGCTTCAGCAGCTTCTCCTGGTCATAGCGGTTACCCTGCAAATACAATCAATATAAGTAACTAAGCACCATTGTAGTAACCCAATAACCCTCGAATCTAAGGCGACAAAGAAATCCTCCGCTCCATACTAAGCGTGAGCTGCCCGCTATGTTGTTTGCTAGCGGTTGCTTACCGTTAGCTAAACGCTAAATAGTTACGTAGACGTTACAAACCTCGGGTATTAGCGGAGGTTTCTCACACTTACCTTAAAATGTTGGTCTCTGTATTGGCTAACATCAACGTAAGAATCGCTGACCAATGCGTTTAATTTAGCAGACATTGTGACGAAATGGCAGATAGCTGTCCGCGGCAGGTTTACAAATGTGCTACCGTTACATTAGTTCCGGTTCCCGTGTCCGTCCTTTGAAGAATTCCGGGTGGAACATTTGATCTATGTTATCATCATCTACATTAACCGAGTAGCGCCCCCTGCTGGTGTGGTATTGAGACTGATTTTGTTTGACGTACAATGCATATAAATAAAAATACGTCATGTTTTTGGATTTCACTGTACAAACGCATGCTCTTGTCAAATGCACACAACAAACGTCGCTGATACAAGAAATGTAAAATTCTTAAGCAATTTAATTGCCCGATGGTCACATCGCATGACTATTGGAGCTGCCAGCCAAGCTGTGAGATGTGGTGCCACTCTATTGGCTGCTGCCATTTTGTCATTAGCTGTTGTTGAAGTGCACGGTTCCTCTCGTTTGACTCACCATTTTGTCCTTTTTTTCGGATATTGTAAAATATGTATTTACAGATGTTTTACTGATATTTGAATGATATTTTTCTCATACTTTGCAATTTTTTTCAGATGTTAAAAAAAATGATATTTGGGTTTTCTAATTGTCCTGCATTTAATACACTTGTCTGATCAAGACCGTGTGTGAATAAGGCCAGACAACTGGCCTTATTCACACAGTATTTGCCCCTGACAGCACCCAAAATTGTAAGTTGAGGAACCGAATGATTAAGTGTTAAAGTGTATATAGGGTGTAATTACCAGAATACTTCAGTGCATCATTCATCGAGTGTCAACAATGTGCTTTATAGACTGCACTACCCAACTATAGGTCTACTATACACCATTAATGAGATATACAGGGCCATCAGAATTGTTGCATTTGTTACAGCTACGGCATAAAATACAGATAAATGAAGCCACTTCAGACCGCAAAGCTTCCTGTAAGTTGAACATTTTATTATCATAATTCAAATAATTAAAATGAAAAGCTTTTATCTTAATCCATCCCCTGCCTGACTTCTGACTAAATTAACAAACTAAATTATGTTGGGAAAAGAACGTAAAAATATGAATGAACCTTGTACCTCTTACAAAAATGACAGACGAATAGAAAACAAAGTGATACAACTACAGGGCACGACTTGATTATCAACCTGCATCTAAATACTGGGTTTAGCTGCTCACCGTCAGTTCTACTAATGTTTAGCAAGGCCATACATCACTTCTTGTATCATATAATAACTTCAGACCAAAAAATCAGAGCACAATAAGGAGGACAGCGGCTCCGTCGTGGGTTGTAAACTCTACTCCAAGATTTTCCATGTAGTCTTCATCAGAGGGCAGATGATCTCCAAGTAGTAGTGCTGCAGCAGCTCCTGGAACCTGAAAGAAAATGAAAACATTTGTGCAATAAAAATAACAGCAATTGTTTCTGTTAACAAAAAATGTTGTCCTTGTCTTGTAGACATGTTTTGTGGATTAAATACATGCATCGTTTCTTGAGAATGTGAAGGCAATTTGAATCCTCCCTGCAATGGCGGACTCCGCCACTACCAATAAAACCACCTAAATAGAGTTTTACTTAATGTGAATACATTGAATTGCTATAACTGAAAAATCCAGACCATAAATAATATAACTATGTAGTTTGTTTCCATGAAAATCTTAAAGTAGGTTCTGATTTAGAAAACAATCTTGATTTGTGTGCTTTGAGTACAAATCCACTCTTATGGTGGATGTTTATAATTTGATTTTCATCTAATCAAATTGTCTCAGAGGAGGGCTGAGGCCATGTTGTATTCCAGGAATAATGTAGTCGGCCTGCATAATGCACGGAGGGAGGAATGGGGGGGGGGGGGGGTTAATAGGGCACGAGCACCTCGCTATTGCATCCAAAGCAGCATTAAAAAAAAAAACGTACGTTTTTAAAGTTGCTTTCCTTGTCATCCTCTCTTCATCAAAGCTCGGACCTCCTCTCGATGGTGAGCAGCTCCACTTCGAAGATGAGTGTCGCTCCTCCGGGGATCTTTGGGGGAGCTCCCCTGTCTCCGTAGCCCAGCTCGGAGGGGATGACCAGCTTCCTCTTCTCGCCCTCGCACATGCCCAGCAGGCCCTGGTCCCAGCCTTTAATCACCTGGCCGGTGGCCAGCGTAAAGGTGAAGGGCCTGTCGCGGGGGATGCTGCTGTCAAACTCCGTGCCGTCCTCCAGCTTGCCCGTGTAGTGCATGTGCAGCACGTCTCCTTTACGGGACTTGATGGGGCAGTTGTCCACTCGCTTCTTGATGCCAATCTGTAGCTTCTTCTTATCGGCTCCGCTCTCTGCCGCCGGGCTCAGAGACAGCACGGTCACGGCCAACAACAGAATCACCCGCATGGCTGCTGTCCACTTCACACGCTTCCACACGTTCAAAAGGTTTATTTTGGAGAAGACTGCGCTCAACTCACCAAGCGCAAATTGTAGAGGCACGAATACGGGAAATTAGACGAGAAATCTGTTGCTTAAAGCGGACGTGCGTGTAATACAACCGGACGTGTTTCCCCTGCTGGTGTCACCAGCAAAGACGTCCGGAACACCGTTTGCCACAATGATGAAGTTAGCTTCAGATTCGTAGCTTCCGAACGACTCTTTAGGCCGGAACTTAAAGGGATGTAGTCCGAAACCAACTTCAGCCTCGCTTTACAGTGTGTCATGTCACCGGCCGTTACTGCAACCCAACCTATCGTTCACCTGGGTCACCTGAAGTAAGAAAGTCAACTTTTTTATTACTGAAATATACACCACATACACACAACATACATGACCATATACAAGCTACCGTCGATGATTATAACTCCACCTAACGGTACACGTTGATGTCATTACAGGGCTCAGCTAAGTTAGCTGTCTACGCTAACGCTTCAAGGTTCTTTGAAAACACTCGACAACATGCTCTCTCGTATGTTATTGAACCTCCTCAACAACCTCCAAGTCGTTGAGAAGTTGGCAGAGTCTCGTCCGATTCGCCGGGCGGCCCAGATCACAGCCTACGCCATCACCAAGGCTCAGATAGCCGGTCGGGACGTTTCGAAGCGGGTCATGCGGTCACAGACGCTGCGGCAGGTCCGGGACGAGGCTGGCAGAGTCCCCGGTGACCTGGGAGAGATGGGCAGCCGCCTCAAGAGAGTCCGAGAGACATTTGCGAACGAAGTGAAGGAGGGATGGAAGGACGGCTCCAGACAGATCAAGAAATAAAGAGGACGGGCTGGCGAGAGAATGTTCAAAATACTGGGGACGCACTGATGACTTTTGTGACCAGTTATAAATAACCTGACAACATCTCAAGTGGTGCAAATGACAAGTGTCGTATACACAACCTGCCTCAGTAATGCAACACAACAGTTGGGTGGTTAAGATCAGTTCACAACCAAGAATGGTGGTCGAGAGCTCCACACTGACCTGCAACCTATGGCCAGATACTTTATGGGGTTAAACTAAATATATATTGTCTGTATTCACATCTCTAAGAATGCATGGTCATCTGAAGTGTTTATTTCATCTTACAGAAAGCCTGTGGAAAACTAGGAACTGTCTTGTAAATTGGTAGAAGTGGAAGTTTAAAATGGTAAGGTTAAGTGCACTTTTCTTAAGTAAATTGATGATTCAATGTAGACAGACCCTCAGTACTGATATCTATCTATGACATCTTCACTTAAGTCTGTGATCCAAAACCACGTACTGTTATTTCTACAAATGATCTTCTGTTTTTTTCTTCCGTTTCCCCTCACAATGTGCGGTACAACGCCTATCACCGCCTGAAAAGCTTTTATGGATCTTTAAGAGGGTGTCTTGGGAAATAATTTTATCGGTCAAAAATGTACATATAAAGTAAGATGTGATGATGATGATATGTATGGACAATTAATTCAGCATTTGGTTCTGACCGTATAAATAAAGATTATAATTTACAACAGCACTTTGACTGCTAGACAGTGCAAATACTGATATGGAAATACGTGTTCACAAGGTTTCAAGTTGTAATTCAGTTAATTTGCTTTCACAGCAACGGAGATATGAAACACTGGAAAAAAATAAGAGAGATAAGAGGACATTTTATTGCTGCTTGTTACATTTGGTCACTGCAGTGACAATGAATGTAATCATGTACTACCTTTCAGAGTCAAAGACCTGCACACATGTACACCAGCAGTCTGCAGAGTACCTTTGATCCCTGGCTCCATTTCTCTTCAGATATTCCATCTGTCCTTTGACAAAACCGTGACCCAATTACTGTGTATTGTACTGTGATGCAGTGCAGCAACAACAAATCGAATATCATCAGAAAATTATTTGGCAACTATTTCGATGATTCCTTAATTGAAGTAATTGTACAAGTAAACATTTGATGGTTTTTAGCTTTTCAAATGTGAGAACTTGCTGCTCACTTCCTTGCATTCTTTAACATTGTATATCTGTAACTTTTGGACTTATGGTCAGAAAACACGACATCGTGACAAGACATGTCACGTTGGGCTCTAGAAAATTCTGATTGGCTTTTTCCACTGTTTGCTGATGTTCTATGAATTTATCAAGAAAATACTATAATTAATCAATTATGAAACTAGGGTTAAAGGCCTACAGAACTTGTACATGACGGGTCTTTGTATGACAGCTGGGAACATCTGCGGGAAAATTAATATTGATAACAAATCATTCAATGAAATAATAACTCAACAGAATGCTTTTAATATAGTTGTATTCCATTTGAACAAGGACAGAAAACAGCTCAAGTCGGCAGCTTTGTGTAGCAATACTTATGCAGACTCACTGGCCTGGCAACTAAATATTAGTTACATGTTACATCATTTCACAAAGAAATAAATCTTTATCAGGAGGAAGATAAGGCATTTGTTTCTGACAGCATGAGTCAGTACATATACACTGATATGGCATCTGAACTTCATATAAAAATAAATCTCAACATCGGAAAATACACATCCAATCAACATTAACAGCAAACTGCATCAAGCAACAGGAAGTCGAGTAAATATGACAGGAACAGGTTAGTTTGAGTTAGAAAGAGACATTTCTGGAGTGACTTGTTTGGGTTAGAGGACTTGAGAGCAGTCTAGTATAGACATGTATTTTCTTTTATAACATTAATTAATACTTTTATAGTCCTTTGACACTCTTAAATGACTAGAGATATTAAGCCAAATCCCTTCCCAAACCCAAATGGAGTCAATCCCTTTCTCTAAGTCAAACAAAATGCAAATAAAACACCACATTTAACTCTAAAAGGTAAAATCACATGTCCTTATTTGAGCCTGTTGTCTTTCCTCAACTGACACAAACTCCTCTTTAAATCATCCAGACAAAACTAAAACTCATTCACTCTCCAGCACAAACCACAGGATGTTTCCTTTATGTTCTCCCCAAATCTGATGGAACTGACCGGTGTGTCAGGGTTACCCGCTCGATTTGTGTCAAATGTGTGAACTGAAATGCTAAAAAAGTGTGAGAAATGGCTGCAGGTGGAAAGTATTCTGACTAAAGAAGTTCCCATCAATAACAAGAGAATAATTAATATATTTGAATTAATAATTCATCTTTCATTGTAGGTATTTGAGGAGAATGCATGAAGCAGACAGCCTATGGACAAACACTCATCATCACACCATCCCCAGCACAGCTCTGCGTGGAGGCAACACTAGTGCATATTCACTGATATGGCATTAGCTTATAAACTCAGCCTACACTAAGGGAAGGCCGTGTTGGTTCGCTCACAGAGCAAGTGGCAGCAGAACAGAACAGCAATCTGACTTCTATATTCACATGAAGCATTTAATAAATGGGGAACTGATCTGGGGTCAGTTACAGCAGGTAACAATCCATACAGTTTTAAAGGTACCAGTAGGAGAAAGCTTAGGCTAAGATGATTAACCCCTGACTCGAGCTCCAAACTTATTGCAGACATGAGAGACGGAACAATCATCTCATCTCTAGGGGACCTGGTCACTGATGTCAGACATATACGCAAGATAGACAGTAAAGGTAAAGCGACCTGGATCTTATTAGGAACTCTGTGGTCAACCAAAAGTTACAACATTACATGTGACTCATGTGAAGTTAAAAGTCAGTTTTGTCTGTTCTTTCTAAAATCAAACAGGCATGCACAAACCACTAAAGCAACGTAACAGGTGGCAGCATACACACTGATATGGCAGCTAACCTTCAATAAACAAAGTGGCCGTAACACCTTCTCTCATCGTGTCGAATTCACACGGGCTGAAAGCCCTTTGGCAACTAAACTTTCTTATCTGCCACGAAAAACAGGTGACAACGTGCTTCGTTTAACACTATCTAAATCCAAAGGCAATTCCAACATGTCATCCTCTCGTGTATTAAAACAACATAGAATCAGGTAGAAATGATGCAATTTTAAATAAAAAACATAGATTCAGGGATAGAAGGCTCTTCAGGAAAGCAGGGCTAAATCGGACTGGACTAGGGCTATGACGGGTGAATTGAAGAAGGTTAAATTCTGAAGATTTCTGTGTATTAATTAGAGAATATAGAAATAAACCTGGACAGAAGAGCCAGACACGGAGAGACTGAAGACACAGAAAGGGATACAGGAAATGTAAAGAAGTTAGGGATGAGGACTGGACAAAATGGGAGAGGAAGGGAGTAGGAGAGGAGGCTGGACACCTGTGTCGCATTACATCCAGACGTTGGTCAGCATGAAGCTGAACAGGGCCAGCAGCAGCAGCCATACAGAGGACATCACTGTAAGTGGAAGAGAAAGGGGAAATATTAGAGATGTTGTATATAAGAAAACAATAGAAATCAGTCGCAGCCTCCCTAAATAGTGTCTTTTAGTGTCTTTATTAATGGATACATCTTTCTGTCTTTGCTCTTCAATCTGCCCATACATTGTGATGGTTGAGAATGATGCATTTCATGCACTCAAGCATTTTCAAAATTATATCGGTAAGCCCAGTGGCTGCAACATCCATTATATCATCTGCAATATCTCAGACACCCCTGGCTGGATTTTGATGAAACAAAGAGATGTAGACACATGAAAAACTTTTTTTTTTTTTTACAATTACACTTATTGGAGTAGGGGATAGCTTTACTCACATTGTACTGTCCACACAGTCAGCTTAAACATGAGCTGCAATATAGGCCTACCAAATATTTGACAGTGTTGAACTTCTTACCACAGCAGTTTCACAACGTTGAAGTAATAGCTTGAATTTGTGGGTCATACATTTATTCGCTTTCTTGCAGAGTGCTAGTTTGATACCACTCTCAAGTATGTTGGAAGCTGGAGTCGCCGATGGCTAGTTTAGCTTAGCACAAAGAAACAAATTAAGAGAGGGACACAGCTAGCATGGGTCTGTCCCCCCCCCCCCGGTTGATGTTGAACTGGCTAACGGCATCTCCTTAGATGAAACGGAACAGGGTGAGACAAAAACATATGAATTGACGCTTCACAATGTCATTGGGAGCACTGAAAAAAGTTGAGGCCAACTCAAGTTAGTTTCTTTGTCTCAGACCCCCACAGAGGTAAAAGAAGTATTTCAAACATTAAAAACAGCAATCACTTGGATATGCATTGTATTGCGAGGAGTTATTTATGTAATTTAGTGTGATTTTACCTGCACTCGATGAGTTACACTCCATGTTGACAAGTGATTCCATGTAGCCCTGGCCCAGCCACTCCTGGTAGGTCTTTTTGTCACCAACGCCCACGAGGCGCACAGTGGAGTCTTTGAAAATGAAATCTGTGCCTTTGTAGAACTGTGAGTCAAACATCTTAAAACCAGGACCTGTGTCACTGCCGAAATATGTCTACAAGGAAACAGAGAGACATTTAGGGAATCAGAGAAAAAGAGAAACTGAATAAACACCAAAACTGACCAACACAATTGATTCCCTACATTCACTTAAAAATCTAAATGTAAGTGCAGAGACATGACCTGATCATTTTTGTACTCATTTATTGGTCAAATTCACATTACATTCACAAAGTAATCCTGTCGCAACAAGGCTCATTTTTGAGAACTCCCTGATGGTGTGTTCAAGGATGCATCAGATAGTTGAGAGTTAGCTGCTCAACAGAAGTTTTATCAATGTAATAAACAAATTCTTCTTGAGGCCAATTGGGGCCATGTAATCAATAATTATCTTTGTGCGTGAGTTATAGTGTGTAATAGCATGGACGTCTTACCTGTGCGCGGTCCAGGAGTCCATAGACAGCGTGGATGTTGGTGTCGGCCCGTACCATTACAGCGTGGGAGGGGACTCTAGCCAGGTTACAGTGTCTGTACTGTGAGACCTCTGCTTTAGTGTCCTGAGAACAGAGCAGCTGGAATTCTGTAGACTGGAGATCCACTGCCCATGATTCACCAGAGTTACCTGAACAAACACACAAAGTAAGGTGGTTAATTATGTCCCTTAAAATTATGAGACCCTTAAAAGATGAACATTTTGTATCTTAGAGTTACTTGTTTTACCATCAGTGTTTTGGAAGATAGTAGAATGTTTGATGAAAGCCACATCTCCATCTCCTTTTGCAAGACACCTGAATAGACAGACAAATTAAGTGTTTGGCATAAGTTCAAGTAACTTTTCTATTGAAGGCAACAAAGTTGCTAAGTTAGAGAACCTCCTGTATTTTGGGCCCCCTTGTTTCCAGAAATTAAAAGTCCCATTCAAAGTTACATAGACAGTTACATGAGTGACAGTTGGATCACTTCTACGACTTGAATCATCATTACAAAAGATGATACGCCAGAAGAAATATGGTTAATTGATAAAAAAGCTGAAGTCTGTGAACATAAAAACTTGTCTCAGAAGGTGCATTTCAGCACAAAATATCCAATCACACAGCTTAACATTCTGTTACATGCGCTGCTAATAACGAGTCAGCAACTGACAAATAATTAAACCGGTCATAACATAAACTTCTGGGATCTGTGAGAGTCATGTTTTCCTATGTTCAGTAATATCGTTATCATTAAATCAAATTTGAATGGACAAAACTTGAGTGAAACATGTAACCCTGATGAGGTGCAGGGGTTTGGGATGTTACCTGAAGGCACCGGTGTATCCATCATACAGGTCTTTTCCCTTCTCACATTTGTTCTGTCCTGAGCTGTCGCCCACACACACACCACACAGGTTCTCGGGGAAACCGGGCTGGTTGGCACCTGGTACACAGCTCTGCTTGAAGAACCCTCCTACCGCTAAGTGTCATGGGAACACGAAAATAGAAAATCAAAACTGGAAGAAGGAGGCAGGCTTTTAAATACATTTTAAATACATTTTAAATACATTTTATAACATAATCTTACTTTAAACGTTCATTCTATTGTTTGTTTATAACAGGGAGGAATAATCAGCCTGTGGCAACAGTTGCAAAATGTTTTCTGCAGATTTAGAGGAGCTCTAATGATGTAATATTGGATTGACAGTATTGGATTAAAGAAGGCTTTTGATACAGTGAACCATGAGTTACTCCTGTCAAAACTATCCTTTTTAAATGTCCACATTGATACAATTAAATGTATGAAATCATATCTAACAAACAGGAAGCAAAGTGTACTTATTGGCAATACCCAATCAACATACCTTAACTGCAATATTGGTGTTCCACAGGGATATATTCTGGGCCCTATTTTGTTTAGCTTGTACATTAACGACCGGCCTTTAGTCTGCCCATCTGTCAACATTCAAATGTATGCGGATGACACGTTTCTTTACATGCTAAAAAAAAGTCATTAATGGGTCATTAATCCAGTCAAAATGCTAGACATTCCCTGGTTCCAGCTTTGTACAGTAAATGCGAGGATTTGCTGCTCATCATTGTTATAAATTTAAACTGTGATCTCCATTTTCCCTACTTTCTTACATTTGATCAATTTTGAGTATTTAAACCATTGGATAGAAGACTCCAGCAAACACCTCTGCTACCCACACAGACCAGCATCCCACTGACCTTGTGGTATCTGACAGTGCTGAGGGGTGATCAGGCCTCTCTCCATCAGCGTTGCCACGGGAATGTTCCAGCCAGCCGTGCGACCGTATCCGGTGTGACAGGAGCGACGGCCACGCAGGTCGTCTAAGTTATGGATGTCAAGACTACTCTTTTTCACCACTGCCACTGCATAATATATGGCACCATCACGGTCCTCTGCAGAAAAAACAACATATATCGGTCGTGTTTGAAACAAGAAACTGTGACTATGTTTGTGTGAGTCTTTGCTTGTGTGTTTTTACCTGTGTAGCTCTCGCCGGTAGCAGGGACCAAGCCGTACTCTTTGCCTGCTGAGTAGATGTAACCTCCATCCAGAGTGATGGCATCAGCCTCATTGTTCTATACAAAAAAACGAAAAGGAACAGAAGAGATTGCGATTAAAGAACATCAGTTGGTCTTTTTATTCAATAATCACAGATTTCTGTTTGTTGGAGCCCGATAGATATACAGTATCAGTATGACCAATATCACCAATATCACCAATATCACAAGTCTCAAGTCGTAACCAAGAAGTCTTGAGCCAAGTCCAAGTCCTAAAGTTTGTGTTTCAAGTTCTAAACAAGTCATCATATGCCGTTTACCAAATCTAATTATTTTTTACAGAGAAAATACTTCCAGAGTTAGGATAACAGATAACAGAAATAAAAATGCTTGCTGTATGGATGGCATGACTTTCGGTCTGTCCACCACTCTGGTCCATATTTAAATATGTCAACAACTATCACATTAATTACAATGACATTTGGTACACACAATCATGTTCCCTCTGATTCAGCTGATATATCGTCAGCTGTCTGGCTGCTGTTCTGCACTGACAATGGCATCTTTCCCTCCTGCTTGCACAGCATTATCGACTTGCAAGTCTTTTTCATTTTCAATGTCAAAAGTCTGACTCCAGTCCAAGTCATAAGACTCTGGACCAAACCTCTTGTTTAGCCTAGAATAAGTGTCGCTGTTTCAGTTTGTCCACCAGACACCACAAACAAGTTCTGTCCTGTTCAGTACATCTTGGTCACACATCTTTAATAACCAAATCTGAGTGATGATCAATATCCAAAATGTGTGTTTATGTTACAAATATAAACTCTAAGATTCTAAGAGAGTCTAAAAGATACAGTCTTCATCAGACTCTGGTGTTTAATGCCTTTATTTGAATTGAATGAATACCACAGCAGCTGTTCCTCATAAACCAGCAGTAAGAAACATCTGTTACCTTGATTTTCTTCATGCAGTCAGTCACAGAGTCCCCGTGGACACAATTGATCTTTGGAGTCAGACCTTTACTTTGGAAGTTCACGCTCATGTCAGCACATTTCTGCTGCTCACCGCTGGACAACACACACCACCGCAGCACATCTGGGATATTTTTAGATAAATGGGTGGGTAGTAAATAAGAAAAGAAGGATTCATAGGTAAACTAGGTAGATAACCCAGTTACTAGAAGGGGTTCAAATAGAAATTAATTAATCAATACATTTCACACAAAAGCTACCAAGAAAGCCACGAGTGCCATCTTTTTTTTCACCTTCACGTTTACAGTCCATGGCTCTCAGAGCATTATTATAGAAGGGACCCATCCACTTTTTGGGGTCGTCTGACTCGGTCCCTTGAAACATGGAGGATGAATTAGAGAAGAGTACAGTTCCTCCGCCGTATGCCGCAGACGAAAACATGTTGAAGCTTGACTTTTCCTGCAGACAGCGAGATGCACTAATTTTAATCGCATAGAAAGAATCACGGCAATGTGGTTAAATGCAAGTCTTATTGCTTCACTGTTTCTTGAGATACTTTAGTAGCTGTTTAGTAGCAAGAGCTGTTTGGACGTACCAGGCCCTCCGTCAGCATGTTGAACACCACAGAAGAAGTGATGTCATTTCTGACAATAATCCCACGAAATGGGACGCGGACCAGATGGCATGTTCTCCACCGAGAGACAGGAGCTCTGGTGCCGTCACGACACAACAGCTCATAGTCTGATGAAACCAGTGTCCTTGCCCAGTCTGGACCACGACCTGGTGAAAAAAACAACATGTTCGCTAACAGACATGCTTATTAGCTAACAACAACGTGGCTGTAATAACCAACTAATTACTGACTATCCAGTTCGATGCAAGAATGTACCATCAGTGTTTTCCTCGACAGTTGTGTGTTTGATGAAGGCCACATCTCCTGCATCGTCAGCCAGACACCTACAGACACGAAACAAAAAGAAGTTGAGAATTAAGGGTGCAAGATACTTGCATAATTAGTGTTCTTTAAATCCAGGCTTTCATAAAAATTAACTTTGCTTTACTGGTAATAGTAGAGAAAAGAAAGGAGACTAGATATGTTTTGGAGTGAATGCAAATGACATGTACATCCACAGTACTGCAGAACTGTAACTTCTGTGTGTTACCTGAACGCTCCTTCATAGCTGAAGTATCTCTCTTTGTTGCTCATATCACATTTGTTCTCTCCACGATCATCTCCTTTGCACAGCTGACACAGAGATGCGGGGTCACCCACCTCAGTTGCTCCGGGGACACAGCTGGCATTGAAGAAATGTGCCACACCTGACCACACAAACACACGTCTCTCCAGCTTTCTGTATATACGTCTATGTATGTGTATATGTATGTATAGTGCATGTTTCCTACCCTGGGGGATGTTGCAGCCCACCACAGACATGTAGCCCTGGTCTATGAAATATCCTAAAGGCATGTTCCAGCCAGCTGTTCGGCCTTTACCGGTGTGGCAGCTCTTTTTTCCTGCCAGGTTGTTGATGTTGATGCCAGAATTTGCTTTCTTCACCACAGCAACTGCATAGTAGGAAGCACCGGTACCTGAGGCAACAACAAAACAGGTGTTAAAAGACATATGACGGCAAGTGCTATCAGTACTTTGACTGCAATGTACTGTACGTTCAGATGTGACATGGTTTGCTGGAGGTCTTGGGCTGCAACTGCAATATGCCAAAGGGATATTCACTCCCAAATTATAAACTCCCAAATTTCTAAAGTTGATTCATTTTTCGAGCAGGGGCCTGAGCCGGGGGCCTCGGGTCCAAGAGGCTAGCTGCCTGTTTCCAGTCTTTATGCTAAGCTAAGCTAATGGCTGACTGGCTTACATTCACATTCAGAGGAGAGTGGTACCAATCGTCCCATCTAACTCTCGGAAAGAAAGAAAATATGTGTATTTCCCAAAAAGCCAAACTATTCCTTTAAACATTAAAACAGCTATACTGAATGAGGTAACCTGCCCTTCTAATTTGATAATCCGAATTAGCAGCAACATTTGTATTAGTTTAACTCTAATAAAATCCCTTTCACACCTGTTTTTCTCTCTGACTTACTACTTCTGTCTCTTCTGTTTTCTCTGTTTGAGTTTCTCTTTCAGAATAATATAAACACTACTTACGATCAGGTTTGGATTCACTGGCAGCCATCTTGAAGGAAGCCGTCTTCCCCAGGTTGTAGATGTCAGTGCCGAACATGGACAAGGCATCTGCTTCTTTTTTCTGCACAGATACAGTAAACAAAAAGATTAACGGTGTGGTAAATATCAGTGAGTGTCCACGTTACCTTCAGTATGAAGAGACCCAATGTTAAATGACTCACGCGAACAGCTATGAAGAGTTTCTGACAAATGAAGGGTAAGAGAAGACATTATCGAACAAAACAACCATATATATGTGAGCATGACAGTCTAACTAAATAAACTAAACTGGATGAGGATTGTCAGGCTCACATCCACATGAGGTTTGAAGATTCAACTCGAGATTAAAAATGGTTTTGAAAGGAATAGCCAAGGCTACTTATTAACTGTTTAAGCTTGTTAGTTTTTTCCTTAGAACGTTGCACAGTAAAATGTATAATTCACACATCTCCCTCAGTTTGGCTCACATTTCAGCTTGAGTAACTAGGGCGTCCTGTTTTCAGATGAGAAATCTTCTAGTTTGTGGTGGTCATAAACAGCCCAGTGTGCACTTTGCTGCCTGATAACTGCATGACCTATTTAGAAGTGTATTGCAATATACCATACAACGTTAGTCCCTGTTATCTGCTGCCTGATTCAGCCACTCAAAGAATTTTATTAGCTTTTACAGTCATGTGTCCTCTGATGAGTTGACTGATTGATAGCTTACTCATTGAATGAGATATTTTACAATAAGACAGTAGAATCAGTTGTTGTTGTCAAAATCTGACCTGTAGTTTCTGAACGCAGCCCTCGACTGTCACACCGTTGACGCAGCTGAGGGACGGACGGATGGAGACATCGGCGAAAGACTGCGACATGGCTTGACATTTCCTCTGCTCTACATCTGATATGGTGCACCATCTGATGCTGCTCTGGCCAAACACTGAGAGAGACACACACAAACACACACACAGAGAGCACTCATCATTCACTTATTAAACCTTTCCACCAAAAGTTTCATGAACATATCCTGTCATCTCAAGTATCCAACAACTATGACTGTATTCTGCTATGTCAACTGTAACTTCTGCATCAGTAGGCTACAGTACAGTGCTTCCCAACCGGGGCGCCTCGTGTTTCTCACATGTTGCTTTTATCTATTCTCATTAAAACCATCATACATAAACAATAATTTGAGGTCAAATGGATAAATATGGTCAACATGATCAAGCTATAATATATCAATGGTGATCATGATAATTTTTTACTTCATGTCATGTATTCTTTACAGTATTTGTGTTTATTTGTTTGTTTATTTGCTGCTGAAGGAAACATTTTTTGTTCCTTAAGTGTATAAATGATCTCTTACCAGTTTGCAGTATGAGCAGTAGAGCTCCTGCTGTCCTCCACATGGCCATGGCTTCGTTCTCTCTTCTTCTCTCTATTGGGTAAAATAACCTCCTGTTCCCTCTCCTCTACTTTATATGATACTCTTAAGTCAAAGTCCAGCTTTTATCTTCAAGATGACTCAGCGTAAAGTCCTTGTCCGGAACTCAGAGGAGGCTGTATATATTTTAGTGATTTACAACATTACATCTACAGCATGTCATTCGGGAGTCATAACACTCTCAGCTCGAGAGTTGAACCTCTGTAGAGTTTATGAAGCGTGCCTCTCTGGTTGGTGTACCTGGTCTGACACGTCTCTGCTGCCGCTGCCTGGCTGCAGGCCAAAGTCCGGACAGAGAGGTCTTTTACAGCCTGAGAACCCCACCTCTGCTCTTCTGTGTGGTGCTTTTCCACTGATGGGGGGAAAAGGAAAGAGGGCAGTGAGGCCGTTGGTCACTGACTCACTACTCTGGCTGCTGAGAGGAACAAAACATTCTGTTTACCTGCTTTCATTGCTAACATTGACCTTGTCTCTGACGTTTAGAAATGTGTTGTGTACATTATATTTAGATGAAGTCAGTTATTCCCAAAATGCACTGTGAAGTCTTTTGATTATAACGTGGTTATTATGGTGGTTCAGGTTGCCAAGGTATCTGCCCTCCACAGCTGATGTTGTGGGTTTAAATTGGGGCTGGGGCCTGGCATGCCATCTCAGGTTATTCCACTTTAATGCACATTTTACTGCATTAAATCTTTCAAATAGCTATATACTCGTTACTTTAGTAATATTTTCCATAGTAATGTATGATAGCTTATAAATAACGATGCATTGTTATCTACCTCACTATATAAAAAAAATGTTAAAAAACAATTAGCTGCACTTTGACGTCTACCACAGTAAAATGCCACTTTTATTTAAGGATTTAAATAATTCCTTGAACCAGTACTTATTTCCTAATTCCTCCAAAAGGTCTTGTATGCGAGGCTGACTGACTGAATAAATCCCCCAAATTGACTTTTCTTCCATGCTCACGAGTATGAAGCAGTGTCATAGATCTAAATGAAATGTATGACTCTCTTTAACAAAGATGCAGAACTCAGCAGGACTCATCCTCACAGTGTGTAGTCGTACAGCAAGTAGCTGCTTCATATCAAATTATGTGTGATTACGATAGTAAAATATTTCTGGTGAAACATAAAGGAAGCCCAATTGTAAAAACATGTAATTGTTTTGATTGTTCGTCCGCGTTCATGTTCACTCTGGTATTGGGCCAACTATGGACATTACCAAAACATGAGTAATAAGAATATTAACGTTTTTAAAATGGTTTCGGCCTGTAACAAATTATGAAGGCAACACCAGTAAATATACTTCTGGTGCGTAAACCTTTAAAATAAATCAAATGTAACAGGATAGACAATGCAATTTTAAAACATAATGTGGAGCTGGGAACAGTAATAAAGTTATTGTTAGGCAGTCAATTTGGCCGCAGAAACTGACACTAGGTATTTGGGGAGTCTGCTTACGTTCATGGTGCTTCAACACTCACAAGACACAACGTGTTGGCGTGAGGATGACACAGAGTTGACAGCCAAACCAACGTGTCACAACGCTGCTATTTTCTGCATCTCAAAATTCAGCACCTACCATTAGCGGACCTGAGAATCTGCTGTCAAATCTGACCTTTTCTCTAAAATCGAAAACTTGTGAGCTGCATCACACTATACAGTTTACATGCAAAGAACCCATTTTCTTCTCATGCAAATGTTAAAACAGCAGATCTTGCTGTTTCACAATGAACCTTTCTACAGCAGGCTCTGTGTGCAGTCAAAGTACCTATAAAGACATCTTTAAAAGATTTACAATTATTGGTACGACAGGTGTTACGTTCTCTTTACATCGTTAAGTTGATTTCTTGCCAATTTTAAAGCATCTGTGTTTTATATCTCCTTTCACTCTATAGATTATGGCAGTACATTAGCCTCTGATTACCTGATTATTGCGACTTGAAACCGGATGAACTCAAGGAGAGAGATGTCAACTTTGGACCTCATGCAAGTGAATGAGGTAAGACAGCAAATGCATGTGAGATATGTGAAGAGGTCTATGGATCAACGTATTCGAGAATTGAGCTTGGAGATTCATATTTTGTAGAATTAAGGAGAATTTTCTAACAACTAAAATAGCTCAGAGCCTCCCAGAGTCACTATAGCTGCTGCAGACTCTTCAGTCAGAAAATGCTTCACCTTCCGAGCCAAGAAGCTGGGTGTCTCTGCTACATGGAGCCACATTAGACATCAATAGAGACCACTACAAACCTGCAGTAGAGGTGAAAGTAAAGCAGAATATATTCATATTTACAGATGCACATTCATTCACATTCCACAATGCAAAAAGAATAATCATCTCTGGTCATCGGTCAAGGAATTTCAATAAATCTCGATAAAGACTTTTATTTTTTTTTGTACCAAAATAGGCAGTTAGAGCAGGGATAAATATAATGTTAGCTATAGATCCATCTCTTTCATAGATTCTTTGCATCGGTGCTTTACTCTAACAGACAGTGGCATGGTCCCCTGGCTAAAACACACAGCCAGAGTCACACAGAGCGAGTCCAGTTCTGTCAACTGACAACACCACTGGTTTACTGGATTCATAGAGCATTATAGATGGAAAAACGTAATTCAGCTGGACATTCTGTGAGGAAATATTAAAGCTTTTGAAACACATGTGGTCGAAACTATTTATTATTTGGGTCTAAGAGCTACTCCGTTGACGGAACGGTCTTTCTGTACGTCTCTGGTCTCCAGTCAGTTTGGAGGAGCCGCCGCGGGGGTTGAGGGAGGAGCTGGGAAGTGGGTGGCTGACAAGGTCCGCAGGAACTTTGTTATCAAAAGCATCTTGGTATTTCAAATGTTACACTAAACAACAGAGGTTATCGTCATGTTTCAGGTAAGCGACATTTGTGACTTCGCTCTTTTTTAGCTCTGTTTTGGTCTCCACCACCTCCTGAGGGAAATACCTGGCTCTTCAGTCGGGGGCCGGACAGCTAAACAATGAACTGAAACTCACATATAAAGTTCCATAAAGCAGAAGGGAGCTGATAATTATCTGTTCACATTGTCACACTGTTTTCACATTGTCATTGTCATGTGATACATTGTTATTATATAAAAAAAATATTGATTATAGTCGCTTTAAGGGAAAAGCCAAATCGTAATCGTCTCACCTGTTGCAGATGGTTGCATTTCCAACGGTATTTTTGTGATCACACAGAAGTCTACTCTGCTCGAGGCTAAACCCCCATTTAAATAGTGTATTTCCACAGACTGTGACACTCCCTACTTTGCTTTATTAATTAATGAAACGTGCATTAAAGGTGCCCTGTAGTTTTTTTGTAAACAAACAAAAGTTGTTTGCATTCACAGCTGACCCTGCCAAATGTCGATCAGCATTATAGCTCGAAACCAATCACAAGATATGAATAATGCTGCCCATGGGTGTCAAGATGTGCATAGAGAGGGCCATGTGACTGACATGGCCAGCATCAACAGGCTACTCATACTGAAAAGTTACATTAGTGCCTGTAAAGCGGTTAACAGAGATTCATAATAAAAACATCATGTGATCCTGAAAACACCTTTGAAGATGCAACCCATTGCTGGATAACAGGTAAGAATACAACGCTTTGATTGTCCACCATCTGCCTGTATCACGGAGAGACGTTTGGAGCACTAAGGTCACAGATGGATCTAATTTCAGGTGTTGTTCATGCACACTAAAACTCATAAATCCAGCATGAAAAAAAAATCTGTTGGAAAAAAGAGCTAAACCAGTTGATCAGTGGGTGATGACAGAAGCGTTTACCAGAGTTCACCTGATGTCTTTAACCAAACAACCAATGAGCATAAAGAGTTCCCTGACCTCGTTAGCTCTTTCAAACCAACATAATAATCACTGATAGCTGAAAGAAAAGTGAGCGTATCACACATCCAAATACCTGAAACACTGGGATGGGATCAGCTCTGTCAAGATGCTTTAAGAAACCAGCCCTCATTAGTGCAACTGCAGTATGAAGGAAAGCTACAACAATGATGCTGATGATTATGATCGTGATGATAGTGATGATGAAGAAGATGATACACCGTTTGATGCTGGAGTGCTCGACTAATGTCACACTGTGAATGTGGAGGAGGAGCGAGATGAAGGCATGAGACAGAGACAAGGAGGAGGAGGACGAGGGGAGGCAGAGAAGCCCTTGTTTTGAAGAAGACATGGTTGATACATGTTTTTTAAACAGAGGATCTGGGCCCGTTGGACTTGAAATCCTTCACTTTTACCTTCTTGAGTGTGTTTAAGAAGGATTGGACAAAATATTATTGGCCAAGATGAGCGATACCGTACCTGAAGAAATATGTTTAATTCAGAATAAGGTAGTTTTAGCCTATTATTTCTGTTTGTCTGCGTTTATCAAGGTGCAAAAGACAAGAACGTAGCTGTCATTGATTCTGCTTGCAATCACATTCGATGCATCTTCATTATCTGCTCTCATCAATGTGGCACTAAATCACACTCATTATCTGTTTTCTCTGCTGTATGTCTTCCACCAACAGCATCATTTTGTTCCTTTGGTTCCCTTTTTTGTTTCCATTTCAGCCCATTATTTATCCATATTTGCATGTTTATGTATTCTAAATATATATTCGATTGTTTTTAACTTCACGTTAGTTTCTACTGGAGTTATTGAAGATTTTACACAAATAAAATGTACTTTAAACGGTATAAATGTACATGTTTTTGCAGAATCACACATGACTGAGTGAAATTTAACAGGGCAGATGTTCGGTAAATCCTTGACACGGATTGGCTGTAGGTGTAACTAATCATCTGATCACTTGAAAGTTGCTCTAAAATGTTACTCCTCCACTTTGCTGTAAATAAGAGGACGCTTGATAAATGTATCCTCAGATATACTTTTAGAAAATAACATTTTTACAAGCATCATTCTCAGAATTTTGAGAAATAAGGACTCAGGGCTCCGAATGGACTCTAAAACCATTATGAGGCTCAACACTATTTATTTTAAAGCTATCTAACTTAGTTTTCTACTTAAGTTTTGATTGAGATATCAACAAGGGTCTCAATGGTAGAAATCCTAAATTATTACTAAATGAATTATTTTCTTGCTACGTCTCTAAACAGTACTATTGTACTATAATTTCATTTTGGTCCTTGACACCAAAATGCTGGGGCACGTTATAAAGTTTTCAACTCATTTCTTAAGTCTGTAGTCTAAAGGGTGGGACATGAGAGAGAGATAGAACAAGACTAAACAGGAGCAATGCCATGAGGAAAGACAGACAGACCGGTAAGAAGATCAACATTTTGTCCCAAAAACATGCTCTTAAAGCTACAGCGTGCAAAAGTCTGCCTCTTGGTGACAATATTATCATTACAAACCCATACATGAATGCATTACCCTTCGTTAATATGAAAACAACAACGACAACAACAATAAGAAGAACAATAATGAAATCAAATCAGATAATGGTACATGTCGCCTTGATTTGAACCTCCTCCTTAAACATTAAGGAACTGAGCTGTAGGAAGATCCACCAATAGGCTGCTGGACAGACGTTAGCCCCTCCCACTTCAGGAAGTAGCAGTCCCAGATAGTCCCAGCCTCATCCGACTTCATGTGCTTGTGTAAATCGTTGTGTGTGTGTGTGTGTGTGGGTGTGTGTGCGTGTGTGTGTGTGTGTGTGTGTGTGTGCAGAAATGTGGGTTTACGAGAGAGAGAGAGAGAGAGGAAGCAGGCTGATAATAGAAAATTAGAGGAAGTGTTGAAAGAGTGATGTGTGTGATTTTGCAGTATGTGTGTGTTTATTCAAAGTCGCTCCTTGGTGGGTATCCAGATGTAAGGACCAGACTGCTCCTCAATAGTCTGCTTCACCTGCGAATACACTTCCTCTAGAGTCGAGCCATGGACAATGGCTGCAGAAAAAGAGAGATAGAGAGAGAGAGAGAGAGAGAGAGAGAGAGAGAGAGAGAGAGAGCGAGAAATGAATATACAAGAAGAACATCTACCAAAACATATCACCATGGTAGCCCACTGTGTGTGCAGAAAGAAACTATAATCAAAATCTCCATTAAAGTGGGAGTAACCTTTAAAGGTCAAAATTGGTGTATTTGAGTATGTGTGTATGTTGGATCTTTACACATAGACTTCCTTAAGATCAAGAAGTACAGCCATGTTTTAACCAAACATAATCCCTGCATGTGGAAATATAACAAACCGCTTTGTGAATATCTTGTGGTTGACTTACATAAAACTGTAACGTATAACAACTTTACAATCGTTTGCGTTCTAAACAATAATGTTATTGTTTTTGTCAAAGGAATATTTCAACACTTCTCTTTCCTGCCCAAAGTTAAATGAAAAGATGGATACTACTCTAATGTCTGTGAGTGAAGGATGGAAGCATACAGTCAAGAAACAGCTAGTCTGTAAAATAAAAATGCAAAAATGCATACCAACACCTCAGACGCTCACCAATTAAAATGTTATATCTTGTTAACTGCTGCAACTATTTCTGAACAACCTACAGTACATTGTCTGTGTACGTGTGCTTGTAACTAACCGCTGAAGAACTCTGTGAACTCATGCTCCAGTTTGACAGCTCTGTCGAAGGTCTTCCTCGCCTGGTCCTCAGTCAAACGCTTGTTCATCTCTCTGGAGAGAAAAACAAGAGTTACATATATCAAGGTGCAGAAAGATAATTTAAAACACCGTGTATACATGAAACTAAACCCTCAGCAATCTTCTTGACCTCATTGTGAAGTTCAACAGTGGTCAAATTACATTATGATGATTGACTTTTTTTACACCTACACCTACACCTATCTGCTGATGAGGAACATGTGAGTTTTAAAACAAGCAACAAAATGAACCTTATGGTGAGATTGTTCAACTCAAATACAGGATGTTGTTTATGTTAGGGTGGTAGAGTCGATGTTCCCGTTACTTACAGTATGTTGTCGACATTGTGTGGTCTAATGAACACAGCGATGGGATGGAGGCCTGCCAACTGGAGACGCTTGATCGCATTCCCTGATACATCCAGTATACAGTGTTTACCCTGGGAAAGAGACATAGAAACCGGGTTTCCATTCTATTGTCAAGCAAATTTGAAGCGAAAAAAAAATACGAATTAGGCGTGTTCCCATCAACTGGTTTGGAGTGAATGAACTCAGCTACAGCGTAGTTTGGACAGAAGTTGGCTTGTATATGACTGTAATCCTCCAGTAAACAGAGTAGAAGAAGAAGTAAAGATAGCCAACTGGAAACACCACGAGTTCATTCTGCCAGAAAGCCCCTTCTGACAGTGATCTTCTTAGGTTTAGGCAAAAAAACCTACTTGGTTAAGTCTAGGAAAAGATCAAGGCAGAAAGCCCTGAAGGCAGACTTCTCCCATACGCGTTAAATGCTCCCTACGTCAGAATTTATTCGGCAAAGGCGTTCCCATAATCCATTTTACGCATCAGCTCTTTTTAGACAAGGAAAAACCACCTCAACCAAGCTCCAATTTCTTAGAAGTTATATCAAATGTTACTGTTTCCATACAGCTTTGCTAATGCAATACTTCAAAATGTGCATAAAAATATGTGAAGGTAAACACGGCTCGATGTTATTCTGTTTCCTCTGTCCTTTGTATTCTATCTCCTCTCTGCTCACACTCTCTCGTTAAACTCACCTTGTCCGCGACTTCTTTGACCGACTGTATGCTGGTTCCATACAGATGGTTGTTATACTGTCCGGCCTCTATGAACTTGTGTTCCTGGATCTCTTGCTCCATGAGCTCCCTGGAGGACATGAAGTGGTAATCTCTGCCGTCCACCTCGTAGTCTCGCCGCGGCCGTGTTGTGTCTGAGTATCATAGATTTTCCACACATTATTCTTAACACAAACCTTTTTTACCTTAAACCATGAAGTGTATTTGCTCAAACCTGACCAATCGTTTCCCAACATTAACCACGGGGCATTTCTGCAAGCATGATATGAGGCTGATGAGAAACGTACTTAATTATATATATTTTTTTAGAAACATCTAAATTCTGCCAAAAGTTTTCCTGACGACTGTGTTGCTATTTCACCAATAAAATCACTTAAGTCATCCTGCTGACTCCTCAGTCTGTTTGCGTCCTATCCCCGTTGCGCTGTATAAACAGCTGTAACATTTACTTTTAGTTAACTTCTTTGATCAGCTGTTATTACAGCATTATAAACACGATGTTATAGTTTTCATAATGAACCTTTGCCTTGTGTGGGATTCATCATATAACTTAAGCAGAAGTTGTACTTTGCCCGTCCGCGAGGGTCCGCTATAGGCTTAAGATACTCACGTGGGACGCAGGAGCCAAACTTGTCAGGGAACTCTGAGATGAGGTCATCGTTGATCCGATCTTTCATTGGTCCGAGTATGATGACTGGCCGCGTGTAATTAACTGGAATATGACACACAGAACCAGGTCAACACAGACAAAGATACCCAGTATGTTGAGTAGACAGTAATATAAGTTACTAACACATATATTATATCAAAATGATAATTTGTGTATGTGCTGTTGATTGCTTTCAGTAACCCTACTTCCCAAGACGGAGTAACATAAAGACAAAACAACCTTGAGAAACTAAAATTAAAAGATGATGTGAAGTTAAGCACTGACCCTCTTGCTGCATGACAGGTTGGTAAGTGAGCAAGATCTCCTCCTGGCCAGCTGATCGGATAAAGAGAAATGATGAACACATTTAGAGGCACAGCGGGCGGGATTATTGACAACAAAACACACCCGAACCTTTCCTACTTTTGGACTGAACTTCTGCAACAGCTCTGGCTGGAGAAGCAGAGAAAGGTAACTTACACACAAACACATGCGCGCTCGCACACACACACACACACACACACACACACACACACACACACACACACACACACACACACACACACATATAAAAACACAATAATCACAACACACAATAAATACATGTGCATGTATGCATGACACACCCACAAGCACACACAGAGAAACACACACGAATAAAATCAAAACTGAACAAGAACGAGCAAAGAAGGAAGAGAGAGAGAGAATAAAAGAAAGAAAGAAAGAATGAAAGAAAGAGATAGCGGAGGGTCTAGACTTACAGGAACTACTCTCATTATCGCTGGTGCCAGAGGTTACCAGCTCTGGAAGGACAAGACAGGTCAGAGTCAGCAACACACACACATACAAACACACAGATTCAGACAGAAACGCACAGACTTACATTGTTTCTATATGTCACACAACCACTGACACACTTTCACTTCTGACAGAAAACATCAGACACACAATATCATTCCATCCATCCGTTTTCTAGATTCGCTCATCCTGGTCAGGTGAGCAGGAGGCCGGAGCCTTTCCCAGCATGCAGCCTGCAATCCCAAAGGCCTGAACCTTACAGCCTCAAGGAGACAACATGGTTAACCACTTTCTTTAAAATGTCTACTTTATTACATTAATAAAGGCACAAGTCCAGAGGAAAAGAAGTTGGCCAAATATTCGTGCATCAACTATTGTACTTTTCCTAATGTAACAAAGGAGAAATTCTAAACACCCACTTCTTTCAAACACTACACCTCCAGTTGGTAATGCTATTATTACAAACTTCCCAGAAACAAACGTTACAAAACACTTAAAGTAATAGAAAGTAACTAAGTGCATTTACTCAAGTACTATACGTAAGTACAATTCTGAGGTATATGTTATTTACTTAAGTATTTTAATCTTATGCTGTGTTGTACTTCTACTACAATAAATCTCAGAGGAAAATATTGGACTTTTTACACTCAAGTTAGCTGCTTTACAAATTAAGATTTTAGAACACTCAACATCTATAAAATGATCCTCCAATTACTTTTACTTAGAAACTTTAAGTACACTTATGTACTTACACTTAAGTATAATTTATAATCCAGGAGAAAGTACTTCTTAATTGTGGTATTAATGCATTCTTCAATACTACCACTGTATTTGTTTTGTGTACTATTGCAGTTTTTGTTAAAAATCCTGTTCCAATATTTCCACAGTTTTACCGACACACTTTGTATGTTATGACTGGCTAATTTGATGAGCTATCCTGGACAGTGGCCTTATGGATTCAAATTTTTACAGTTCTTTCAATCTACTTTACTGTCCATTTCAGATCTCCCTCTTCTTCCCTCTCCATCATGCTCCTCTTCCTCCATCCCAGAGCAGGATTAAGGAGAAGGAGTTTGAAGGAGGAGAGTGGAGGTGAAAGGTGCGAAAGTGTCAATCCGGATTGCTGAAGAGCTGAAGTTACATATTCTGACCCGCAGGTGTCACTGATGGAGAGAATACCTACCTTTATCATCCTGATCCTGGTGAGAGAGAGAGAGAGAGAGAGAGAGAGAGAGAGAGAGAGAGAGAGAGAG